ATTACGAACACAAATATAGAATTTTGAATCACTAGCAGACATTTAATTAATCGTTCAGAATACAAATAAAAGCAAATTAGCTCCTGGTTTGCTCAACCTGCACTTTGCCTGCTACCATGAATTATGGATTATTTTTTTAAAAGTTCTTTTGATCAAATTTGTCATAAAACAAGCCAAATCCTAAACCAGTGATTTCAAACAGCATCTAGCTCACATTATAGCAGCATTATAGTGTGTTGTAAACCTTTTATTTCAAATCTGAGTGAAGAGAGAGGAGCCACTCTGCCACACAGGCAAAGAAAAAACTCCATTAAATCTTTACCAGTATAAGGAAGAATAAAAAAATAGAAAAGGAAGCTTACAAGGCGGGTAGGTGCTTAATGGGATGCATGATGAAATAAAAATGAGCAAATCTTCCACCTGATATGTAGCTATTCTGTGGACAAAAGTGATGAAAATAGGAAAGGAAGGAAGAAAGGAAGGCCGCTTTTCTGTCTAATGCACAGAAAAATATTCCTTCGCACGTACAGATTAATTCTGTTCATAATTTTGCAGTTTATTCATGAACATTCATCTCCATAAATGTTCCTCATCGTGGGGACTGAAGCTCCCGTGCTCCCGTGACAGGGCTCGGTCCCCGATGTGCGCACGTACACATAAACACCGCACACAAGCACACACGTCTCCGCCGTGGTAACCAAAGAGACACAACGGCAGCATAGACAGGGAGGAGACCGAAGAGAGGGCAAAATGGTAGAATGGCGTGACATGGCAAATATAGTTAGTGCAAAAATATAATCGGTGAGGGCCGCCTAAAATTAGCAACAAGCACTTCCAGCTCCGTACAACTGGAGTGCATCATTTAAACTGTCCATGAAATATGGAGAGGACAGGACTATCATCCAGGGAGAGAGGATGAGGGCAAGTGAGGATGAAGGACAGACTGGAAATAAAAGGGCAAAAAGCGTATTATTGTCTCTTTATTCATGGAAAGGTTGTTAGAAACAATGTTATACAGCATCTATGTATGCAATGATTTATGTATATGGATGGGGTTACATTTTAAAAACATATATTATTGTACTCATGATGTATCTAAAGTATAATACTGGATGTTACAAAATGATTTTTTAAAAGGTTATTATGTAAACTGAGCGCTATAACACTGATATTGTCAAAAAAAGTACAGCACATATTAAATTAATCTGAATAAATGTTAAAAGAAAAGTATTTTTAACAAGATCTTCAGCCCAGAGTCACAATGAAGGACTTGTACACCTCCCTGTAGGCATTTCGGAGGAGAACGTACGGGAAGCAGCTCTCCAGCATGTCTTGGCTCAAGAACGGAGACTCCTCCACGATCTGAGTGAGTGAGGTTTAAAAGGAGTCGTTAATTGTTCAATTATAAATGCTTTGAAGTAGAGAGGCATTAAAGAAGACGCTGCAGGTCTGACCAGTCATTGTAAAGAGAAAAAAAATCCTCAGCTAATTAACAGCCACAGGCTTTTCCATTTAGTCAGACGATAAACTCGCAGATTCCTCTCTGTAAGCTCGAAGCGCATGAATGATTCTCTACACGCTGCCACACCTACCATGTGCAGGAGCAGGTAGATGGACTCTCGGTTTTTGATCTCCATTCTCTCCACGTTTTGTCCCAACTGAAGCAGCGTGGACGAGGCCAGCTGCGGAAGGACGCGAGGACAAAAAAAGAGACACGTTTTTGCTGCAATT